CAGGTGAGCGTCCCACCACCCTGCTACCTACTGCCTGGCCCGAGGGAAGGCCCACACCCACCCCCCCCGGCTTTATTTTGGCTGCTTTCCCTGCCCAGCTGGACCTGCCCTATGCCCCGTGTTCTGCTGCAGGGAGAATGTGCTGAAGAACCTGGATGACAAGGCTTTTGACAAACCCATCTGCGAGGCCCTCTTAAACCAGAAGTTTTTCAATGGAATTGGGAATTACCTCCGCGCTGAGATCCTGTATAGGTAAGGTGGGGTGAGCACCCGCTGATCTGCTGGGGAGGTTTGGGCTCCAGGAGTTTGCCAGAGCTTGACAGCTCCTTGGCAAAGCTGGCAGGGCCTGCTTGCCTGGTAGACAAAGGCAAGTGCCAGAACCGAGAGTTCAGGCTTGTGTGTAACAGATGGGCTCTCTCAGGTTGAAGATCCCTCCCTTTGAAAAGGCTCGGACCGTGCTGGAGGCCCTGAAGGATCAGGAGCAGGCGAGGAGGAAGAAGGTGGGGAATACCTGGTGCTTTTGCAGGCTCAGCAAGGGGCAGGTTGCCAGCAGACACCATACCAGGGATTTGTTTGCCTGTGGCCCTGCAGGACATCTCAGCAGGACCCTGGAGTCCCAGGAGCTTCTTGCCTCCCGAGCAGGGAGCTGGACTGAGCTGAGAAGCATTCCTGATTCTGGTTTGGGCTCTGCAGCAGTGGAGGTGGTTCAGTTTGCTTCCAGCCCCCAGTCTGGGCTCAGCTGTCTGCCTTGCTCTCGCTCTGCTTCAGGCTTAGCTGGGCACAAAGCTCAGGTTCAGGTCTGCTGTTTCGGGCTTGTTCCAGCCCAGGGTTCAGGGCCAGTTTCAGTTCATGTTTGGTTCCTTGCTCTGGTGGGGCAGAACATTGTCACAAGGCCCTTGTAGAGCTTGCCACAGCCTCTGCCCGCACCACTGTTGGGAGGTGTTTGCTGCTCAGAGCCTTTCCCAACCTGACAGCAGGCATTTTCCCTTCACAACTGTAACACTTGCTGCATGGGATCTTTCTCCTCAATCGCATTACTGTCCTTTGCCGTGAACACCCATCTCTGAGCACATCTGCCCCTCCAACGGAGCGGCAAATGGGGCACAGCAGTTCTGTAACCTCACGCCTGCGGCGTTCATTCACACGTGGCCGGGCTGACAAGCTGTGACAGGATCCCCAGCACATGCCTGTGTGCTGTACTGGTGCCCGGCTGCGCCCGGCTTCTACCATCAGGAAGTCTCTGGGTATATTTGGGATGGGTAAAGAGGAAGGGGCAAGGGAAACAAACACCTTGCAAGCTTAAAATCTCTGGGGAAGGCTGCAGTAGAGCCCACGGCCGAGCTTATGGCCTCAGGGGAGAGGAGGTGGCTATTTTAAAGGAGGCTGAAAACAAAACATGTGACTTGAGGGCCGTTTTGTTTTTTTACGAACTGCTGGTTTTCCTGTGTGCTAGCCCTCTTTCATGTCTTTGTAGCTGCGGGGAATGCACTAATGTGCAGTTTGAAGCCTGCGCATGGTGGGGAGTGTGGCAGCTTCATCCTCAGGAGGACAAGAGGAGATGGGGAATTTGACTGGTGTTGGGGAAGAGGGACCCTGATGAGGGGGCTGGGGCAGCTGGCAAGTGATGTCCCTCCCCTTCTCCACCCCTGCAGAATCCTTCCCTGACGCTGAGCAAGAAGCTGAAGCTGATGCGGGACAACCCAGATCTCCTGGAGCTGTGCCACACTGTGCCCATGGAGGTCATCGCAACGGGTGAGGCCACAGAACAGGGAGCTGGGGAACAGGGACAGCTGGGGCTGGCAGGCTTGGGAGGGCACCCCAACACCATGGTCACCACTTCCACTCTACTTCTGTCCTTTCCCTCTCTCCCTTCCCAGAGAAAAACCTCTTCGACCCAGACCACTCTGATAACTATGCTGCTTTCAAGAACTGGCTGCAGTGTTACTTAGTGCCTGGCATGAACTCCCTGCGTGACCGCAACGGCAGGACCATATGGTTCCAGGTAGGAATCTGGGGTCGCTGCCTGGGGCTGGGTCCCCCTCTCCCACTCCTCCAAGGGGACACCAGCCCATTTTCTGCTTCCTGAGACCACCTCAGCTTTACACTACATGCTGGGGGTCTCCCTCTCCAAACAACTGCTTTGACCGCTAGATGTGGAAGCAATAAGGACCCTTCATGCAGTGGCCAGCTGGCCAACGGATGGTGGGCAGGCTTGGAGCAGAGGGGCTGATTGGGGGAACGGGGGGCTCGGGTGGCCTGGCAGCCCTGTTCCTCCCTCCTGTGCCCTGTGTCTGGGTGAGGTGGCATGGCATGGCCTTGAAGGAGGAGCAGGGGCTGATGGGAGAGCCCCCAAGGTGCAGGGCAGGCAGAGCAAGTCTGACTCCCCTGGCTTCCTGCGGAAACGTGGCTGTTTCCCTATTGCTGTCTTGACCGTGGGGTGGAGAAGGGGCACAGATTCTGCTGCCACTACCTGCAGAATGACTGCGTCCCAGTCAACACTCTGTCACCTTCCTTGCAGGGAGAGCCTGGCCCCATGGCTCCCAAAGGTGAGTGTCCTCTCTCCTCCCCGTGGGACCTGCTCTTGCCTTGGGAGGGCTGGAGCCTGGGAAGGCTGGGGGCAAAGGCAGGAGCAAAGCTCCTTTCCCTAGGGCACTGACAGGCCTGTGACAGCTGTGGCCCTGGGGGACAGAGCCTGCTGTGCCCGAGGCTTCCTACCAGCACACCTGCCTGCCTGGGCACAGCCTTTGCACCTGCAGGGTGCTTTTCCAGGCCAGCACCCACATCCCCTTCCTCACCTGCCAGGCTGGGAGCAGGAGGGGGGCTGCAAGCTGGAACTGAGCAACGTTTTGGCAGGGGAGGGAATCTGGTGGGAGGGGAGCGGACCCCCCTTGCGCCCTTCCTGCCAATTCCCCACCTCAGCCAGCTCAGCTCTGCTCACATCACCCAGGACAGCATCCCTGAAAGGTGACTGTGCCTTTTTGTGTGCTCTCTGCCCCATCTCCTCCTCACCCCACCTAACCTGGGCACGTCTCCTCACACAGGGCAGACATCCCGCAAGAAGCACACTCAGCTGAAGGCAGATCCCAAGGCTCTGACCCCCGAGGTAAGAAGCTTTGTGGTTGTGGCTTCTGCTGGGTCTAGAGGCTGTCCTGTTCCCCATGTCTTGCTCAGGCTGCTCCTGAATTCACGGCAGGGTTCCTACCTGGAGTTTCTCATCAGCTGGAGGCCAAAGTGTGCTAAGCTCAGGCTCTGATGTCCACCCAGGTCACCACACGTGCCTCAAAACGGCACCCCAGGGCTGCAGCAAAATCCCTGAAGTCAAAGACAGCCAAGGAGGAGGAATTGGCTGATGGGCCGAGGAAGGGACGTGCTCGTGGTAGAAGGAAAACGACCTCTGCTCCAGCCTTGTCTGAGCCTGAGGTGCCGGTCAAAGCCAAAAGAAGCCATCAGATGTCTACGCGCAGGAGCAGAGGTGAGGCTGGCGGTCCCTGCAGCTTTCAGATGCACAGGCAGAGGCTGTGGGAGTGCTCCCTCGTGCCAGGGGGACTGGGGGGTGCCAAAGGGCAGGAGACAGCGGGGCTTTGCAGGGCAGAACCAGGCACCCCCTTGCCCTCTGACTTCTTGTTTCCCTCTCACCTTGCAGGTGCAGCCCCTGCTGTGTGAGTGCCACAGGCTGCCCTCCTCCCCAGGGGCATTTTTACAGCCGCAGGAGGAGCTCAGGGAGGGCCTGGCCAGGGCCTGGGTTAGTGCTGGGGAGAAATGGGGCTGCTCTGTACCTGTGCTCATGCCCACTTGCTACCCCTGCATCCTGCCAGCTGGGCTTGGTGATGGGGCTGATTTATCCCACATCCTCCTGCTGTCTCCAGGCATTTGAGGGAGATAAGGGCCACAGACCGCACACTGTGCTGGACTCAGACCTTTCCCGCTGCCTGAAAGTGGATTCCCTCTTCCTTCCCTTCTTCCCTTTCTGGCTGCTGCCTGCATCACTGTTTTTAGCTGACTAATAAAGTATTTTGTGTAGAAATCACCGTGCACATCTTTTTTGTGCTAAGGATAAACCCTCCCTGTGCCCAGCCTCTTCCCCTGATGGGCTGGAGCAGGCTTCCCCTCCACCTCACACACCACACACCGCCCAAAAAAAACCAAGGTAAGCTCTGCCTCCCCAAGTTCCAGGAGTGAGCTCCTGCTGAGGAGGACAATTAAGAGAGCAGCAGCTACAACAGAGCCCTGGGAGGAGGGAGATCAGCGCGGTTATCTGGAAATAAGTTAAGAAAACAGGCTGGAGCTTGTTTTCATGTTATTCTCTGGTTTACTTGTGTTCCCCTTCTGTGAGGGCAGTGCAAGAGGCAGGTGCAGGGAGAGGGTAATGACTGTAGTGTGTCTTTACACTCGCTGCTAGGGTCTAGACAAGACAAAGGCCAAGACACAGGAGCCACCGGGGAAAGCCGCTGCTCCCCAACCCCCCCCGGGGTTGGAGCAGAGCCTGTGTGGGGCCAGCCAGTCCCCCAACCGTACCCACACTTCAGCTAGCTAGGAACTCACTCAAGCACCCCCTTCCCTTGTTCGGCAGGAGGCAACTGTCCTCCTTTCTCAAAGAACCTGATTGTTCTTTGAGCGCTGCTCTCCGAAGGCTAGGTTGGGGGTCAGGGGGAGGCTCTGCCCTTCCTGGAACCGCCACCTCCTTGCACAGCTCTCGGGATCGGGGAAGCCTCAAGCTGCGGTTTGAGCTCGCACATTGATCGGGGTTGCCGTGGCATCAGCAAGGGCGACTGCTGGCATCACTGCCTCAAGACCAGGAGGACTGAGAGCACGCGGAAGGGTGTGAAAGAAAGCCTCAGGCCCCGCTGCTCCAGTGGCAGGCAGCCCCCTGCAGCTGGCCGCTCTAGGAGGTCACAGCTGGGGAAGAAAGCAGCGGGTGAGGCTGAAGTGACCACTCTCCATCCCTACACACTCCTAGCCCTCCAGCACAGACTTACAGCATCGCCTCCTTAACAGGGAGGGAGGTCTGGAGCCAGGCGTCAACCGTGCTGCCGTGCGCCTCATACAGCCGAACCACCAGGGCTTCAGGTCTGTCCTCAGCCTTCGGGGGGCAGTGCAGACGGGATTTAAAGACAAATGAGACATGCGCGTCCTATCCTATGCCTCGGCGTACAGCCCGACCCCAAGTGATCGCACATGAGTGGCTCTGCCTGTGTGCAGGTGCGTTCCTGAGCTGCTGCGGTGCAGCGCTCATGATTGAGGCTGCAGTACCCATGTCCAGATTCGGATACTACTGCGATCCCTGGTGCGAGCGCCTGCCCGGGCTGGCAGAGAGGGGTGCTAACCCCCCTTGTCTGCACCTAGCAGGACACGCAAGCCAGAGGGACCACAGTTTCCACCCAGTTGAGCCTGCCTGCTACCCAGCGTGGGGGAAAGAGCAAGCCATGCTTAATAACAGCAGCTTAACCTGCCTGCCCTCCCCGCTCTGCCCCAGGGACTTGCCTGCTTGACAGTCTCCAGCACGACTGCAGGTGAGCTGACAGAAAAGGTGCTCTGGGCCAGGCACAGGGCAGAACCGGCCGGGACCACGTGCAGGGGGAAATTCAAGTTGTAGGCACGCTGGATCACCCCAGCATCCTGGAAGGAACCTGCGACACAAGAACCTCTAGTCAAGCCTCACCCCTCAAGGCTCACAGGAGCATCCTCCACCCCGCATGTCCCCCCGGGGCCCAGCTCCTCCCATCACTCACCCAGGTGAGGCATCACGGCATAGGTGAACTGGTGGTACGCGATATCTGCCGTGGCATCAGGGGACTTGGGAGCTCTCAGCCTAAGGCAACACGAGGTAGGTGAGACTGGTGTCCTGGCAGCACCCTCTGTCACCCGGTGCAGAGCCAGAGGAGCACTGTGACAAGACAGCCACCTCCCCTTGCTACCTCAAGGCTGGGCCCTGAGGTAGAAACCAACATGCTGCTGGTTTCTGGCAACAGCAAAGACCCTGAGCAGTCCCAGATGCTAAAAAATTCGAAGGGTGTTTTCCCATGAAACTTGCGGCTGGTAAGAGTCAAACTGAAACATGTGGAGTTTCTCTTAGCTTTGTATGCACCCGTAACATTGCTGTTCCTTCCCTCTCCTTAAGCTTCCCCTCCTGAGGCAGGTCTTGGCCAGCAACAGAAAAATTCCTGGGTGCAAATATGGATCTGATCGGTGAAAATACGGATCTGATCTCTCCTGAATGATCTATGAGCATAACTCATAGCAATTACATTGTCTCAGTCAATTGTAATTAAGTCACCTGAAAGTTCTCAGATGGCAACCAGCCACTCAGACTAATACCAGGCTATTTCCTTATTAACTGCAATCATTTAGGACCAGGCATTGCCTTGACTTCCAAGAGATGCCTCAGAAGGCGAAGTGACGGCTGCAGCTCCACGTTCACCCCAAGTCCACTCACAGTGAGAGGCTGAGGATGTTCCCATGGGCCGATGCCCCGTATTTACAATCATTCAGCAGTGCCACCCCGAAGCCGTGCTCGGAGAGATCCAGCCACTTGTGAGCCCACACCTGCAGGAGGTACCGAGGGACATATTCACTGCACAGAGCTGCTGCCTGGGAGCAAAAGCAGCCCCGGCCACGGGGGGAGCAGCTCAGCCCTGGGACCAGACCACCCTCCCTCTCACCTCAAATCGAGCCCAGTCCCAGGACGTGTTCCAGTGTGTTGGCCGCTGGAGGTGTCCAAACTGGATCTCATAGGTGGCATTTGTGCTCCGGACCCGCAGAGGGAACTCCACCTTCAGGAACTTGTGAGCCTCCTTCCACTCAACCTAAATGCAGTAGCAGGAGGACATTACTGCGGGGCCTGACAGGCGGAGGCTGTGCTTACCCTTCCCCAGCGTGCAGCAGCCAGCTTGCACCCAGGCCAGACTAGGCACAATAAAACCATGCTAGAGACTGAACACAGATGAACTGGCAGGTCTCTTTTCCACCCTTGTCCCTCAGGACCCCCACCCTCAGGCTGTCTTCCCCTAAGGCAGAGGAGGACAGGCAGTGGGGGGCTCCAGGGAAGGAAACCCAAGGGGGAACGTAATTCAGACGTGAGGTTCAGCTCCCCAGGGCCCTCCCTGCACAGCACAGACGTTCATATCGTACAGCAGCCGCTGGCCAAACCTGGGTCAGGAAGCGGAGGTAGGGGCATGTGGCATCCAGGATGATCTCCTGGGTCAAGGTGCTGCTTTCCCCAATCTGCAGGGAGAAGCTTGCGCTTCCCCGCAGGCCCCCAGCCAGGGTGATTTCCAGAGGCTTCAGCAGTGTTGTCACCGGCTTCCTAGAGAAAGGGATGAAGGCAGAGCTGGTCTCAGCCTGGTAGATCCAGGTTCCCAAATCCCAGTCCAGCCTCCCACACTTCTCTAGAGGGAATGCTGTTACAGCTTTGTTACAGCTTGGACCAACACGGAGGGAAGAACCTTAGAGCAAAGTCAAAATCCAAGTACTGCATGCGCTACTCCTCTACCTGGTTTCCAAGTGGTAATCCATCACGTCCCAGGCATCCCAGTACAGAGGAACATCATCAAAGAGTGCAAACTGGTTGGCATAGCAGCCATCTGGGATTGACTCTCTGGAAGAAAGTGGGACAGAGAAACAGCAGCATCAGAAGAACTGGCAGCGGAGAAGGACGCGCAGCAAGAAGGTGACCTGAGAGAGGTTTGAGGAGCCCAGTTCCAGTAACTGGGTGACAGACATGCCTCTGGGAGTCCACCAGCCGAAGCGAGGTCAGGTGCCCCATTGCGTCCAGGCAGACTGCAATCACCCCGTTTTCCATGGCAATGGAGCCATCCTCCTTGGGGGAACAGACAGAAACAGATTTCACAGACCCACGCCTGCGGGAGCTGAGTGCCCCAGCTGCAGACCTAGTGTGCGGACTTGCTGCGCGCGGGATTCCCTAGATTTCTCCCCAGTCAACCTCTGATGGGGGTACACCCATCCAAGGACGACTGCCGTTGTGCTTACCTGTTTCCTCACTGCCACGGGCTGAGGGGGCAGCAATGGCTCCCTCACTACAGTGTAGCCCATGCTGGGGACTGTCACCAGAGCTGGAAAGCAAAGGGGTTCTGTTCCAACATCTGCCCCAGACTAAAGTCACAGCCCTGCTGCTCTCACCTCCTTTCATACCCTCCTCTTCTTCATCTATAGCTCAGGGACAACTTGAAGTAGGATAAAGTGCCAAGGAGTGATTTGACAAGTGAGTAAACCCTCCCCAGGGCAGGGAGAGGCAATTTCTTTGTTAGCTGTCTCTCCCCCGTAAGAAATTCCGATACGCGAGTTACCCCTGAGTTAGGCATACCTAAAGTCTCTGCGCCGGCTGGCCCAGTCCTGGCAATCACCTCGGTCCGTTCCCAGGGCAAAGTGTTCAACACGAGGGTGCTCCCGGTGCTCCCTGCCTCGGGCTCCAGCAGTTCCCTGCGTAAGGACTGCACAGCTTCCTCCTGCAGCTGAGTGCCAGCCACGCGGATCTCTGAGCAACAAAAAGGCCTGAGCTGGATCCAGCCAGGCTGTTTCTCATATCTGAGAGCATTTCTGGTGCTCCTGTGCAATGTACACACGCTTCAGCTACTTCCAAGCTACGATTACTAATGATTATTAATTATTATTATTGATTGGTAAGTAATTCAAGTTTACAATCATTCTTAACTTTGTTGTTACAAGACTACAATGAGCTCAACTGGAAAACCATGGTGCTGTAATAAACTAAAGCTCCTGCAAGTGCCCGTGGGCAGGCAGGAGCAAACCTTTGCTGGGGTCTATCCTGCCAGCAGCAAGCAGAGACAGACATTAGGAAAAATTTTGTCCCCAAAAGGGTTGCCAAGCACTGGAATGGGCTGCCCAGGGAAGGGGTCAAGTCCCCATTCCTGGAGGTATTTGAAAGCCGGGCAGATAAGGTGCTTAGGGACAGGGTTTAGTGGTGGGATGGCAGGGTTAGGGTAATGGTTGGGCTTGGTGATCTTAAAGGTCTTTTCCAACCTAAACTATTCTAGGATTCTA